TGTAAAAATGTTTTACAGATTACTTTATTGTAAAGTCAGTTTTTACTGTATGTCCCTGTCAGCATCCTGCAGGAATAATGATGACTAGTCATCTGTCTGGCCGGGCCAGTGACAGGCTTGCATCTGATCCTCTGAAGTTTACCTGCTCCAGGGTAGGCTAACTATGCATTGTGATCTAATCAAGTTAAAGTGAGCTAGCTCTGTGATACCAGAAAACCAAAAAACCTAAGGCTAAGATAACTGGGAAACCCACTAAACGTCCTTTGTGATACAGACCCCAGGACACGTCATGTGATTGCTCATTTACCCTGAACTTATGTTCTGTGCATTAGGATAACCATTCAACCTTGCAGTTAATGGAAATTGCAAGAAGAGCCCAGGGAATATTAGTCCCTTGCAACCAGAACTCAAGATGCCAAAATGTTAAAAACTCCCTATGATAAATGGTGCAATATTAAAGAGTTGACTTAGACAGCAAATCTTTTTTAATGCAGTCAGTTTATGTTTTAAGTACTGTATTTGTCTTCTGAATGGTCCAGTCCTTTTTTGACCACACATTTATTGCAAATTTTAAATTTGGTTGAATATGCTTTTACATAGCATTATTACAGAGACTTAGTACCACTCTCATGTCTGTACATTAAATGTAAAGACTGAAGACGCAGGAATATTTCTTGGCCTGGTGCAAGAACTTCCTAAAATCTCCACTGTTTGCATGGCAAAAGGTCAAACCCAAGAAACAGTCAGGCACATAGCACCCTGTGAAATGGTAAATGGACTGTATTTATATAGCGCATTTTTCACAGTGTGTTGCACTGGCCAAAGTGCTTTACAGTAGATCATACACCATTCACACACTGATGATGACAAGGCTGCCACACAACGGCGCTAGTCAAGCCACCGGGAGCAATTCAGTGAATGATTGTTTTTACACTTTGTTTTTTGAACACATTAAACAAATAAGATATGCCACATTAATCAGTATGCCTTAGAGGTGTCAGTAGGAGGATTGTGTTTCCTTTGGACAAAGCCAGGCAAACTGTTTCCCTATTTACAGTCTTTAAGCTAAGCTAAGCTAACCAGAAGCGTGGCAATAGCATCCTATTTACTGCCAGACATGAGGGTGATACCACACTGAACATGTAACTCTCCACCAGGAAGCAAATCTATTAAGTCTATTTCCCAAAATGTCAGACTAACTTTAAATAGCAACATGATTTAAGTTAACTATGGAAAGACATTTACATTGCCCTTGGTGTTGCTTTAAACATGCAGGTGTTCTTGTCACTCTGTGAATTTCACTGTATATCACCGTACAAAAATAACAGCAAGCAAACATGGGGAAGAATCAGCTAGAATACCAAAGGCAGACAAAAGTCTCTGTCTCAGTTCAGAGTTCAATGGATACATGAAAGGTTCTCCAAACCCTGCAGTACATCACAATATGCATATCCATCAGTTCTTTGCAGTCTGTTGCAGGACTCAGTTGCTGGACAGGAAACAATACATGCAGTACACATCTCTGTCGGTTATTATGACAACCAATTTCTAAATTACTTCTGTATAAATCTGGTTGGTTTGATTCTATGATGCAACATGTCATGACAATTTCACTTTGTGAAAAGAGCACAGAGCAAAAAATCAGATTTGAGACACTTTCACCTGCAATGTGAAAATGCTGTATATACTGCTGTGACAGACATAGTTTATGTTGATGCCAGCAGTGTATAAAATATATACTTTATTTGGGGGTATTCAATTCTGGGATTTTCTTTTGTTACATATTGTTTTTGTGGGTCATTGTTTATAGGTTTTTGTCCATAAAGCAGTGGGCATAATGATAACTATCCAGTGTGTATTCTAAACCTGTTTATGACATTTTTTTTTACAGTATGCTCATTTTTAAGATCTAGGTTTTTTTACTTTATCTTATTACTACCTCCACTCCATCCTGATGAATGGGGCAGGAAAAGAGACACACTTGAAAAAAACATCGTCATCAGTGTGTGAATGTTGTGTGTGAATGGGTGAATGGTGTATCATCTCTGTAAAGCGCTTTGGCCAGTGCAACACACTGTGAGAAAGCGCTATATAAAATACAGTCCATTTACCATTTACCATAGGTTTTTGTCCACAAAGCAGTGGGCATAATGATAACTATCCAGTGTGTATTCTAAACCTGTTTATGACATTTTTTTTTACAGTATGCTCATTTTTAAGATCTAGGTTTTTTTACTTTATCTTATTACTACCTCCACTCCATCCTGATGAATGGGGCAGGAAAAGAGACACACTTGAAAAAAACATTCTTGTATTGTTTAATGCTGTAAAAGTACCAGAAGGAATAGTACATGCAGAATATGATAATTAAGCTTTCTTCTTCAATAAATAAAATATAATTTCCTAAAAACTGTCCATTTGATACCCCTTTTCAAAAGTGCAAAGGAAACCAGAGATTTGACATTCACTACACACAGCTTGTAGTGGTTCTGTCCTACTGCTTCCAGTTTCAGGCTCTTATTTTGTCACCACTTCCTGTTCTTATTTAATCTCAGCTATGGACCCTTTACGGTAATCAGCGCTCATTGCCTACACCTGTTTTCACCCCTATTTAGGCAGCGTCCTCCCACCAGGATGCTGCCAGATTGTTCTTGACTCCATGCAGACTTTCCAGTGTTTCTTCTTGTTGCCTGTGATTCCTGTTTATTGACCCTGGATTGCCTTGACCACTGATTACCACCTTGCCCTTCTGGTTCTGATTGTGTTTCTGTGTACTGACCTTCAGACTTCCCTCTCTGACCTCCCGTTTTTGGATTACTTGGCTGTGTGTGTTTGCCGGCATTGAACCTGGACTGTTATTGGATTTTGAGTGGGTTTTTCAGACTATTGCAGCCGTCTGGGGGGCGGCTGTGGCTCAGGAGGTAGAGCGGGTGGTTTCCTAACTGGAGGATTAGCGGTTCAATTCCCGGCTTGTCCAGTCAACATGTCGAAGTGTCCTTGAGCAAGACACTGAATCCCCAGTTGCTCCCGGTCATGTCACCCGTGTGTGAATGCGTGATTGCTTGAGAGTGTGAATGGCCGAATAATGCGAAAGCACTTTGAGTGTGCTGTAAAAAGCGTAGAAAGGCGCTATACAAGTATAAGACCATATACCATTATAATTGAGTCCACCAGTAACTGTGTTAGCTGCTTTACTGGCCAACCCTGACATGTAGGGGTCATTCAGAAAATGTGTAGACTAGTGACTAATACGGTAATCAGCGCTCATTGCCTACACCTGTTTTCACCCCTATTTAGTGACTAAGTGACAATTTAGTTACACTACAGTTGTACAAGTTTTAAAAAAGTAAGTAAATATTATTTATATAGCACTTTTTTAAACTGAAGTTAAGAAATAAAATGTAATAAGAGTAACATATACATCAAGCAAATATGCAACAGTAAATAACATCAAACAAAAACAATGAATAAGAACACAAAACATACAAATACCCTAATCAGTGCTGGTGACAAATGACTGCCTAAATAAATGGGTTTTAAGGACTGAGTGAAAGACATCCAGTTGGGAAGCACATCGAATCTCAAGTGAAAGACTATTCCACAATTTAGGGGCAATCATGGCAAAGGCCTGATCACTACAATTTTTGAGTCTAGATCTACATAGGCACCTTTGAGAGCAGCTGGTAAGAAGATCTTGGAGATCTACCTGGTGAATAACAATATAAATACTCAGAAACATGTGATGGTGCCAAACTATGCAAAATGTAAAAACATGAATCAGCTGAAGATGAGACGGAGGCTTGGGACATCCTAACATACAGGTATGTGCCAAAAAATTAGAATATCGAGGGAAAGTCCATTTATTTCAATAATTTGTTTCAAAAAGTGAAACTTGTATGTTATATTAGTTCACTACACACAAAGTGAAATATTTCAAGCCTTTATTTGTTTCAATTTTGATGATTATGGATTAAAGACAAAAAAAGTACCAGAGCCACCAGTCCCACCACCAGTATCAGAGCCACCAGTACTACAACCACCAGTCCCACCACCAGTACCAGAGCCACCAGTCCCACAGCCACCAGTCCCACGGTAACGAAACAGTGAATCCACCAGGGGAGTAAACAGTAAACAGGAGGGATCAACGTCTTTGTGTAAGCCTGAACAGAAGTTACCAGGGTTTATCAGAATCGACCAGTAGGTGGTGCTGTTTCACATGTTGAGCACAAACTGGATGTTTTCCTAAACAGTGGCTCCCAGACTGTGGAACCAAGTCTTAAATAGGATTATACAAGTTTAGATGGTTTAGAACAGCCGACATGACAAACCTTGGGGATATTCTTATGTCTCCTGTCACAGACTGACGATGTGACTGCGGTACTGGGGCGGGTCACGTGGTACAGCTGTGGACTTCCACCTGCCTTCCCTCCAATCTGGGTCGACAGCTCTTGGACGCACACAGCAGGTACAGGTACGTAGGTTTTTACACATTTAATCTGTTTTTTTTAACGCCAGTTTAACAAAATGTCACCAAACCTTTTTGTATAAAACACTTCACAGCCTCCTAGTTGAATAAAAACCAGTTTGTCATTATAACTGGTCTCCGCCCACAGACTTCGCCTTGTGGCTTTTACCTTTTCACAGATCACAGTGTAAATAATTAGGACTATGAAAGCATCGCTGAACTGGTGGTTTAAACTAATGTACTGTATGTATTAGACACATTTAGCGTTTACTTTGCACAGAGAGTCCAGGGAAGTTGGGCTTTTAGTTAAAGTGCAAATCTGAAGACACGTCGTCCTGTGACAAACCGAAAGTGAGATTTTATCAGTCAACAGAGGACACGGACATAAAATGAAACTCCTAAAGGTAAAGGTGGAGTGGAGGCAGAGGTGGAACAGTAACTAACTAACATTTAATACAAAGAAGGTCTATACACAGGGCTGAAAGAATGAATAAATAAATATGTAC